ACATTGGTGAATGCCACAAATTCTCCTAAATCACTCGTACGCACAACTTAAGAACAAATCTGTGCGTACGAACGGTTCTTGCATGAGCCCCAATGTTTGTATTTGTAAGTATCTTTTATTATTAACTTGTGTTTTTCTTCTCACAAAAACTACACCTGGACTACAGCTGCAACGATATCTCGTTTGAGCACCATCATCTCAAGGTAGATGTGCACAATAATCACAGTGTAGGTGCTGCCCTTTAGGGGGCAAATTAAATCAACATCATTGAACTAAACAGTCGCGTGCTTCGGCTTTTATTCTGACAGGTTGCTCTCGCAGGCAGAAGGGGGAGGAACCCCAGCAGACAGCTTGGTTCTGCTGGAGGTTTTGGTGTGTTCCGTTTGCATCGTATTCTGGAACCGGGAAGTGGTATTGACGTCATTTCCCAACAAACCGTCTGAAATCACATTCCAGTTAACCAGCAGGCGATTTGTATTTCTGCCACTGACCTACAACACTGTCAGAGTATAAACAATGACAAGAAGAGCACTCTACAAGGCACGTCATGCAAATAAAAACTGATTTTAATACGTACAGTATGCATGCAAAAAACACACTACTTGTATGAGTGATTAAACATGCATAAAAACATTAAGAACAATAATTAAAAGTAAAAATTACCGAGTTAAGTTTCTAAAGCTGCGAGTGGTCGCCATCTTGAAATCAAAACTGGGTGTTGTCGTAGTCGTTCCCACAATAAGAGTGTGTTTTACCACTGGAGCGGACACTTTCCAGAGCTACTGGAAGGCACCAGTTTTTCCTGTTATAAGGAAGTCATTTCTTCCCACTGTCGCTCCAGTTCTGTGCAGGATGGAAGATTTTACCATACCACTTTTATTTATAAAGCACTTTAAACAGCACAAGGCCAACCAAACGTGCTGTACAGTAGAAAATGATTAATTTAACACAATATGCCAGATTATTTAGGCTTATTGTTATTTTATAATGTATAATTGTTGTGTGGTCTGACAGGACTTTTGTTGTGCACTGATTGGTGCTTTATAAATAAACTAAACTGAATTAAAGATGCCATTTAAACCATCTTAATACTGTGACTCAGTAAACGTAAGCCTTTCTTTAATAAACTCCAGACTGCCAGAGCTAACACGGTTATACAACACTGTCTGGCAGAGGAATGTAGAAACAAAACATTTTCTTCTTTTGTGTGTTCGTGTGTTTGTTGCGTGTGTTTGTCTGAACAGGCCAGACCGCCGCCATGACACTGCTAGTTAACCAAGAACGAACCGGACCGGTCTGCCGAGCACGAAAACGAACCTGATACTCTCATTGACACCAACAAGAGGTGGAGGTAGGTCCCTTATCTTTTTTCTGTCATATAAAAACATAGCATCATGTCTGTAGCTGCTTATTATTAGCCGCTAAAACCTGGCACAAACCAACACCAGCTGGCACTCATTTCGAGCAGCGTTAGCTCATAAAAAATAAATAAATACTATTAAAAATCAACCACAGAACCAACGCTATGTCTATAAGTTTCCAGACGTCTTACCTGTGAGTGGGTTTTATCCGGACGTATTTGCCATTCGTTATAAAGTCGGTGTTTGTTGTGATGAACACACCAGTGAGGATTACTGTTAGAACCGCCCTCCTTTCTTCTGATTGGACAGAACGAGAATGGACGAACCGTCTGATTGGTCACTCTTAAACAGCACTCAACAGCAAGTCTGCCTTCACATGGCATGGGTTAAAGCAGTGGTTCCCGAACGTTTTATCTTCTGACCCACAAAATATTCATTGTAAAAGCTTGTGACCCCAAATATCACTGGTCTGAGTACACAAACTTCGTTAATAACTCTAAAAACAAAGGCTACACAAATATAAATACTTATTTATACTTATTTTGTGTTTTTGTAGTAATTGTAGGGAAATATTACATCACCAATTATTTTATTACCCTTGAAATTGATTTCTGAAGTGCAGTGGTTCTCAATCTTTTCAGCTTTTGACCCACAAAATAACAGTAGCAGAGACCTGTGTCCACAACTATTTTTGGATGATAAACATTTGTATCAGGTCAACAAAACATGGACATAGTAACAATATTTTTTATACCACCTTTATACATTTTAGGCAACTAAGGCAAAAATGTAATTAATATAGAAAATCTTTTCAGGACCCCACCTTGATGTTTCAGGACCCCACTTTGGGTCCCGACCCCAACTTTGGGAACCACCGGGTTAAAGTGTCCATCTGATTTGTTTTTGTGCTCAACACTGAATTTTTTCTAATGACAAAAAATAATTGATTTTTCTCAAATTCAATTCTGGTAATTATTAAACGTGTTGCTAAATTTGATTTTCCAAAACTGTTCAAAATCTGAACAGTTATGTGACTTTTTCATCATTAAAATATAAATGAAGCAGGTACAATAAAGGAATGGATGTTTTTTTTTTCTTTTAAGTTATTTCTTTTACACTGGCACCTGGTGGAGACAAGCTGTTTTCTATTATTCTAGCTGGGCTGCTTTTTTGATACAACACCTACAAACCAGCTCACTGTTATTTTGTTTAGTTTTTTTTAAATCCCAACAGCTTTTAATAAAGTCTGTGCAGCATTTTAATATTTCCTGAACCTGACTGAATTAAAGGGGTTTGAATCATAAAAAGATGTATTTAAATAGGTTTAACCCTGTTTTATTTTAATGGATGGTATACATTGTTTGATTTTTTTGTGCCTTTAGATGATTTTTCTGGTCAATCAGCACTAAATAAATAAACATAAATAAGTATATTGATACCTGAAGATAAATTTTAGAAATAATATTTTGTTACATGAAATGAACTCGTGCTAACATCACTGGGGCAGATATTTACATTTTTATTCAAGTTTCTTTGTACAAATAATAATAAAATATTAACAGTAATGCACTGAAATTACATTTGAAAAACAGAGGTTCTAAAGGCTTCACCAATTAAATAACTACATTAAAGTGATTATAAATTAAGTTTAAGTGTTGTTTTTAAGTGCCATTATTCTATTTATGCTGTAAATTCTGTCAGCGATATTAATAATATTAAAAATAGTAGAATGCAAATTAGTAATAGTAATTCATTGTGACGTGTGAAAATAATCTAATAAATAAAGTATGTGGACTTGTCGAGCCTTTTATTGCTCCTGGTCTCTGTTTCCGCCCCTCCTGTTCTCCTGTGAATCAAAACTGAATAAAAATGTTGAGGGGTAATAAGCTCAGGAATTGCCTCTGAAATGTGGTGAATTAGAAGCATAAAGTCAAAGAAAATGAAAGATAATTACAAGTATAATAAAACGGACCAAAGTGGACGCTGCAGCCACCTGATCTCTGTCCTCCACAGACGAACACACGGCTACTTTACAATCATTCGTCATTAAATGTGACATTTAACAACGAGCCACACTCTGATATTAACTGGCCGTAGACACTTAAAGTGAAGCTTCTATTAGACATTCTCACTGGAAGACACAAATTATTGTTTTATTTGAGGTCACTTCAGCTGTTCCTTCACTGCAAGCTGACTGATTGTGACTCTTGGTGAGAGATGAAGCACAGCCAAGGCTAGAAGGAAATCAGTCAGTGTAGCTGAGATTAGCCTCTGACACAATGTTATAGCTGTTATTATCACCTGCCGCCAAGGTGGAAGGCAAAGATGGAGCAAGAATGTTTTTGAGTGAGTTTGAATGTCTGTGCTGTTGAGTCATGAATCACTGAATGGATTTTAATGAAACGTTCATCGTGTAATCATAAGACTTACATCTACAATAGATTAACTTTTGGAGTCAACCCAGTTCAAGAGGGTCTCCACAGCCAACAGACCTTAGAAAATATAAAAATCTCTGCCAATTTCACACATATCGATGTGGAAATGGCTGAATGTTTCCACCAACTCATGCTTTAAGTGCAACACCACTCATAGCTTTGTCTGGGTTATTGTTTTGTATATAAAAATCAACTAAAAAAATCCATTTAAATAATTAAAACTCAGTTAATCATTTTCCCATTTTTTCCAGTATATTATTTTGATAAAAGTAAAGTAGGTTTAACGCATCTTTGGTAGAGGTGAGTGCTGAACTGACGACCTCCGTTCCACTAGGGGGCTCTAGATGTTGTTTATTTTTATTCTGAAGCGGATTTGTTCAAAACCGGAAGTAGAAAAAGCCGAAACCGGAAATGATTTTAAAAGAACCACAATAGGTAAAGAAAAACATGAGAAAACTTCTACATTTACAGTTAAATAATTGTCAAACATGGTAAGTTGTTTGTTTTTGCAATATTAACCATTTTTGTAACTGCGTGGTTAATTTTTATGCTGTAAACTATCGAGAAAATGTGTTTTTCCTGCATGAGTGTTGGAGAGATTAGCATAATGCTAAGTTTTCTAATTAGTGCAATGCTAATGCCTTTTTAATTTCTTTTTATTTTATGTTTTTTGCAAGTTATGGATTAAAATTGACATGTTATTGATTCTAGAGATTGAAATGAGTAAATTAAATGTGGTTTGCCTTGCTTTATTTGCTGATTTAAATTCAACACAGCTTCAGCTGTGATTTGATTTAGATAATTATTGGTCAAATGCATGTTTGTATACTTGTGTTTCCATGAATAAAATTACATTTAATCTCAGTTAAACTAGCAACAGTAAACAACAATTATTTGTAACATGGGGAGTGGCCAGGGCTTTTTATTTTTTTTTTATTTACCC